AAGAGCACGCTTAGAGGTGACATTTGAATTGAGTGAGTGCAGGACATCAGGCACAGAGAACAAAATTACAAAAGGTCCAAGGTAGAAACATACCTGGCATATTGAGGAGAATAAGGAGGCCTCTGTGGCTGGATGACAGTGATCAGGGGGTGAGTAAGAGGGGATGAGATCAGAGAGGGTGGTAAGGAGTTAGAACATGGGGGCTGTGGAGGTCATAATAAAAACTTTGCCTGTTATTCTCACTGACTTGGAAAGTCATTGGAGGGTTTCAGAAAAAGGTATGACATGATCTGACACATTTCCAGGGATTGCTCTGGCTAGCGTGTTGAAAACGGACCACAAGGCAGTGAGTGCTTAAGCAGGGAGCCCAGTATGATGTTATTTCAATAACCCAAGTGCAATGTGGTGGTGACTTGGATCAGTGGGGTAGTGGTGCAGGTCACAAGAAGAGGGAGACGCTGGATACATTATGAAGGTAAAGACAAGAAGAGTTGCTAATGTATTGCACTGGGTATGGTGGGTGGTGAGAGAAAGAGAGGAGTGAAGGATAATTCCTGAGCAACTAAACGGATGTTATCGGCATGTGCTGGGATGAGGAAGACTATGTGTGAGCAGATGTGACGGAGAACATCAATCTAACCTTCACATTGCCTCTAGAAGGTAGGACTATAGTTATCTTCCATAAAAACTGGGACTCAGTGAGGTGAAGCCTGTGGTCTAGAAGCTACATATGGTGCTAGGAGCTCTAAGTAATGATTCCTCTACTGCATGGAGCTATAGGATTTGGAGCTGGGGAACTCCTGGGAGGTTGAACCGCTGAGGTTGGGAGGCGGGGTCCTAGCTCTCCAGAGCCAAACTATAAAGGAAGCACCCATCTCTAACACACACCCTGTTTGCAGTGCGTTCAGGCTCATGCCTTGGCCCCTGGGGGTCTTGTCAACCTGGAACAGAAAAGAGGCAATCAGCTGTACTAGGGGCTTCCTATTTAGGCATTCTAATGGAAATGCAGAAAACCAAGAAGGCTGCAGGCTTTCAGAGTTCTACCTTGTAATTTATGATCCATGTAGTCCACTGGTGTTCAGAAGCGGCTTTGCACATGGGGGAGGTGGGAAGGAAAGATGTCTTCAGCTCCTCCTCTCTACGCACAGTTCTGACCATCCAACACACTCTAGGGAGAACGGACAGGAAAAGAGACAAGATAAATCAGTAGGAAAAGAAGGGAAATGTCCTCTAACTATAGGCTGTGCTGACTCAGAAAATGGGGTAGAAGAATGGAAACCTCCATAAAGACCTACTGGTGCCTTCCTGCTCTAGAAGATACACTTTCATGACTTACCAACCTCCTCTGCCAAACACCACAGTGGAACCAGGCTTCAGAGGAAAACACTGCCTGCTTTTTCAAAGTCAAACACATCAGAGCCTGTGGTCTATAAGCCACATATGGTGCTGGGAGCTCCAAGAAATAATGATGAAAGAAAATCGTTGAAATCTAGACATAGAAGGTCTGTATGGCTATACTTTCACTCAGTTGACTCTGCAAATTGTGTTAGCTACCCGTTATTCACTGAACGCTGCTACATGCCCGGTATCATGATGTCCCTCATTAAATCCTCGCAACAACCTGGTGAAGAAGTTCTTATTACTCTCATCTCACAGAGGAAGACACTGGTTCCGAGGAGTCACACTCCCCAGTAGGTCATGGAGCTGAATTTGAAGCCAAGTCAGCCTATTCCAGGCCCTCTGTCTTAACCAACATACTTCACTACCTCCCAGAGGAAAAGGAGGAGGGAGAAATACTGAAAATAGTAACGGTCTCCTCCCCATTCCCTCTATTCTCCCAGTGCTCAGAAGCCTACAGACTAAATCGACTTAAACATTTTTAATATTTATTTCTGATAACAATCAGATGACTATTTTCTCTAAGGAATAGGTTAGTAATAAGAAAGGTCTTCAGAGAGGTGACCTTGAAAGGAGGTTAAGTACATTTTTTAAGGCCATAGTTAGTTTGATGGAAGAACTAAGGCTAAAAATACAGAGCACCTGCCTCCCAGGCCAGAGACTGGCTAGGCCCCCAAAGGCGCTTTGCAAGTTACCACTGCCTCTGCCCTAACACAGATGACTGATTGAGGATAGTTTTTTTTTTTTTTTGTGCACTAGAGCTTTTAAACACAATCTGAACTTAGCTGAAGTTTTTAAACAAGGTTTTTCTAGCACCTTCTGATGAGTTACTGTTCTTTTTTTCCCTCTGCCATCTCCTCTCCCCATACCCTCCCTCCCCTGGGTCAGAGTTGTGTGCCCTGTTGAACTAGGAGGTTCCTACTACAGCTCCTGGTATTTAGCTGCAGTGGGGACATTCCTGCCTCTGTGTGGGGCAAATACTTATATTTCTAGAACTTGCTGTAATTTACTCTGGCCTCCTACACTAATAGTGACTGGCTGGCTGGCTTCTACACACCTCTGCAATCTGGACCCACTTCGGCAAGCTCATCTCTTTCTTTCCCATACTGAAACATACACCCTTCATGTCAGACAGGTGTCCTGGGTGCACCCCATTTCCGCCACAGAAATATCCTCCCTGCTCTCCTCCTATGCAAATCTAGTCTTCGAGGCTTTGCTCAATACTTTTTTGCCCCAGACTTCCCCATGTACAGCCCAGTGGTTTGCTTTCCAAGTTCCCTTTACAGTTATATTTTCAACCACATAATTTAGCCTTCAAAATGTTTCTGCATATTTCTCCAAATGTACCGCAGCCCCTTGAGGGCAGGCACGCATGTGTTCATTCACTAGAGATTTTCAGAAGCACCTTATACGGTGAGATACAGATAGATATAAGTAATAAGTAATGGTTGCTTCCTGTCCTCAAGGATGGGAGACTCTAATAATTTGCAGACATCTATCTGGCACACAGTAGGCCATAAACAAAGGTTCTCTATATTAAATGTGTGTGTGTGTGTGTAGTGATTCTCATTGTAATCATTTGCTGTCTCTAAGTCCCATGAAAGGTATCAGGAAAGGTATAGGGAAGGCATCATGAAAGAGGTGACATTTGAGCTAGGCCTTAAGGGCAGGGGATGTTTTTTAAAAACAGAATTGGGAGAACAGGCAGAAGAAAGTGTTCCTATAGTGCATCGCCAGACACACATTGCCAGACACCAGGTTCAGGGGGAAAGCAGTGGAGTGAGTTGGGCCCCTGCCCCAGCACCAACTAGCCTTAGTGAGAGTGGGCAAGTTGCTTAATTTCCTCGGGGCCCCCATTTCCTTCCCACTCTGAAGTGATTAAGGGGCACAAGCTCTGGAAGAAGCAGAAGGAAGTTCAAGTCATAGCTGTGTTTGACCTTGAGCCAATCATTTGGGGCGGAGGCTCAGCCTCAGTTTCCTTCCTATGTAATAGGTAAAATAATTCCTACCTTACAAGGTTTTTGTGAGGTTTTAAGAACACAGGTAAGCACAGTCGTGGCATTATTATAATTTTCTCCTACCAAAGTAGGGGCGACAATCCTATCCGTTTCCGAGTCAGTGCACAGCTGCTGGTTTCCTAGCACACAGCACAGAGCCCGTCCCTAGAAGGGGCTGTGGACAGACTGTGGGACCCACAAAGACAGAACGGAGTCGAAAGGGCTTCAGAAAAAAAGTAAAGTGTCGACAGTGGAGTGACTGGGCTAAGTGGGGCTCTCAGTAAACGTGTTTCCATGAGCAGACTACGCAGTCCAAGAACCTTTGCTAACTGTCCCAAACATGCCTCTGGGGTTGACTGGATTTTACACAGCCCTTTCGGCCTCCGACTTCAAACCCAAGCAAAGAGCCGAGGCCCAACCCCGTGGCGGTCTTGGAAGATTGGTCGGGGAGGCGGGGATTCCCCAACTCCCAGCTAGAAGAAATCTGGGACGTGTTCCCGCCCCCTTACTCCCACTCCCAGGGGCCGGGCTCCGGGGGTGCTCCCTCTTCATTTCCTATCTCCGCACAAGTCAAGAAAGGAGTGGGGCTCGCACTTGGTCCACTGCACCGGGTCATCTGCTCTCTTCCCTCCCACCGGCCTGGCCACCCCCACCTCGGCCGCCTATCCCCGGGGCCCCCGTGGCCCCTGCTCAGTCGCCAGTCTCGGTCCGGGTCGACCCACCCTTTGGCCACCTCGGCCGCAGGACCC